TCGAACAGGCGATAAATGACATGCCATGCACTCTGCCCCAGGGCCAGACTCATGGAACTCTGTGTTCATCAAGAACTGCAAGAAGCCCCTATCACGAGCCTTTTCCATCCTATGGAGAAGGAGCATGGACACGGGGGTCGTCCCACAGTTACTAAAAACAACAGACATAGCCCCACTCCACAAAGGAGGCAGTAAAGCAACAGCAAAGAACTACAGACCGATAGCACTAACATCCCATATCATAAAAATCTTTGAAAGGGTCCTAAGAAGCAAGATCACCACCCATCTAGAAACCCATCAGTTACACAACCCAGCGCAACATGGGTTTAGAACAGGTCGCTCCTGTCTGTCTCAACTATTGGATCACTACGACAAGGTCCTAAATGCACTAGAAGATAAAAAGAATGCAGATGTAATATATACAGACTTTGCAAAAGCCTTCGACAAGTGTGACCATGGCGTAATAGCGCACAAAATGCGTGCTAAAGGGATAACAGGAAAAGTCGGTCGATGGATCTATAATTTCCTCACTAACAGAACACAGAGTAGACGTCAACAGAGTGAAGTCCGAGGCAGCTACGGTGAAAAGCTCTGTTCCACAAGGCACAGTACTCGCTCCCATCTTGTTCCTCATCCTCATATCCGACATAGACAAGGATGTCAGCCACAGCACCGTGTCTTCCTTTGCAGATGACACCCGAATCTGCATGACAGTGTCTTCCATTGAAGACACTGCAAGGCTCCAGGCGGACATCAACCGAATCTTTCAGTGGGCTGCAGAAAACAATATGAAGTTCAACGACGAGAAATTTCAATTACTCAGATATGGTAAACACGAGGAAATTAAATCTTCATCAGAGTACAAAACAAATTCTGGCCACAAAATAGAGCGAAATACCAACGTCAAAGACCTGGGAGTGATCATGTCGGAGGATCTCACCTTCAATGACCATAACATTGTATCAATCGCATCTGCTAGAAAAATGACAGGATGGATAATATGAACCTTCAAAGCTAGGGAGGCCAAGCCCATGATGACACTCTTCAGGTCACTTGTTCTATCTAGGCTGGAATATTGCTGCACACTAACAGCACCTTTCAAGGCAGGTGAAATTGCTGACCTAGAAAATGTACAGAGAACCTTTACGGCGCGCATAACGGAGATAAAACACCTCAATTACTGGGAGCACTTGAGGTTCCTGAACCTGTATTCCCTGGAACGCAGGCGGGAGAGATACATGATTATATACACCTGGAAAATCCTAGAGGGACTAGTACCGAACTTGCACACGAAAATCACTCACTACGAAAGCAAAAAACTTGGCAGACGATGCAACATCCCCCCAATGAAAAGCAGGGGTGTCACTAGCACGTTAAGAGACCATATAATAAGTGTCAGGGGCCTGAGACTGTTCAACTGCCTCCCAGCATACATAAGGGGGATTACCAACAGACCCCTGTGAGTCTTCAAGCTGGCACTGGACAAGCACCTAAAGTCGGTTCCTGACCAGCCGGGCTGTGGCTCGTACGTTGGTTTGCGTGCAGCCAGCAGCAACAGCCTGGTTGATCAGGCTCTGATCCACCAGGAGGCCTGGTCACAGACCCGGCCGCGGGGGCGTTGACCCCCGGAACTCTCTCCAGGTAAACTCCAGGTAATACCACTCACTTATTTATCCATACCTCACCTATGCTATTTGTGCTTGGGGATCAACTGCAGCAACACACCTAAAGCCAATAATAACCCAACAAAAAGCTGCAGTAAGAATATTCACTAAATCCCATCCCTGGCAACACACCCCCCCACTCTTCATAGATCTAAACTTACTCCCTGTTCAGTACATCCACACTTACTACTGTGCTATCTACATCTACAAGACCTTAAACTCCAATATCAACCTTGACCTAAAACGCTTTCTTGATAGTTGTGACAGAACCCACAGGCATAACACCAGACACAAACATCTCTACGACATTCCTCGTGTCCGACTAAACCTTTACAAAAATTCAATGTATGTCAAAGGCCCTAAAATCTGGAACACCCTACCTGAGAACTCTAGAACTGGAGACACATTCATCACCTTCAAAACTACCATTAGAAAACATCTTATCTCCCTGATAAACCCCATCAACTAACTACACGAATACCACCCGGTGGTTCACACTTACACTCACTCACCCATTTGACCATAAACAGAAATATTAATCTCAATCTTAAAATAATGAATCCTATGATACTCCAATACTGAAACTATGTACTGTGCCAAAACAAAAGCATTCACATTGCTAAACTCACAAACTAGTATTTAGTCACTTAGCCATAATACCAACTTACCTCATAATTTGTAATATTTTAAAATAAAGAATTAAACTAAGTCTGCCCGAAATGCCTAGCCATGCTAGGCGTTCTAGTGGTACACTCTGTAATCATTATTTAACTACATGTAAACCACACAACAACCAAATTCTGTAAATTCAACATTGTAATCTTTATACCTGGAGTTTACCTGGAGAGAGTTTCGGGGGTCAACGCCCCCGCGGCCCGGTCTGTGACCAGGCCTCCTGGTGGATCAGCGCCTGATCAACCAGGCTGTTGCTGCTGGCTGCACGCAAACCAACGTACGAGCCACAGCCCGGCTGATCAGGAACTGACTTTAGGTGCTTGTCCAGTGCCAGCTTGAAGACTGCCAGGGGTCTGTTGGTAATCCCCCTTATGTGTGCTGGGAGGCAGTTGAACAGTCTCGGGCCCCTGACACTTATTGTATGGTCTCTTAACGTGCTAGTGACACCCTTGCTTTTCATTGGGGGGATGGTGCATCGTCTGCCAAGTCTTTTGCTTTCGTAGTGAGTGATTTTCGTGTGCAAGTTCGGTACTAGTCCCTCTAGGATTTTCCAGGTGTATATAATCATGTATCTCTCCCGCCTGCATTCCAGGGAATACAGGTTTAGGAACCTCAAGCGCTCCCAGTAATTGAGGTGTTTTATCTCCGTTATGCGCGCCGTGAAAGTTCTCTGTACATTTTCTAGGTCGGCAATTTCACCTGCCTTGAAAGGTGCTGTTAGAGTGCAGCAATATTCCAGCCTAGATAGAACAAGTGACCTGAAGAGTGTCATCATGGGCTTGGCCTCCCTAGTTTTGAAGGTTCTCATTATCCATCCTGTCATTTTTCTAGCAGATGCGATTGATACAATGTTATGGTCCTTGAAGGTGAGATCCTCCGACATAATCACTCCCAGGTCTTTGACGTTGGTGTTTCGCTCTATTTCGTGGCCAGAATTTGTTTTGTACTCTGATGAAGATTTAATTTCCTCATGTTTACCATATCTGAGTAATTGAAATTTCTCATCGTTGAACTTCATATTGTTTTCTGCAGCCCACTGAAAGATTTGGTTGATGTCCGCCTGGAGCCTTGCAGTGTCTGCAATGGAAGACACTGTCATGCAGATTCGGGTGTCATCTGCAAAGGAAGACACGTGCTGTGGCTGACATCCTTGTCTATGTCGGATATGAGGATGAGGAACAAGATGGGAGCTAGTTACTGTGCCTTGTGGAACAGAGCTTTTCACCGTAGCTGCCTCGGACTTTACTCTGTTGACGACTACTCTCTGTGTTCTGTTAGTGAGGAAATTATAGATCCATCGACCGACTTTCCTGTTATTCCTTTAGCGCGCATTTTGTGCGCTACTACGCCATGGTCACACTTGTCGAAGGCTTTTGCAAAGTCTGTATATATTACATCTGCATTCTTTTTGTCTTCTAGTGCATTTAGGACCTGTCGTAGTGATCCAGTAGTTGAGACAGACAGGAGCGACTGTTCTAAACCCATGTTGCCCTGGGTTGTGTAACTGATGGGTTTCTAGATGGGTGGTGATCTTGCTTCTTAGGACCCTTTCAAAGATTTTTATGATATGGGATATTAGTGCTATTGGTCTGTAGTTCTTTGCTGTTGCTTTACTGCCCCCTTTGTGGAGTGGGGCTATGTCTGTTGTTTTTAGTAACTGTGGGACGACCCCCGTGTCCATGCTCCCTCTCCATAGGATGGAAAAGGCTCGTGATAGGGGCTTCTTGCAGTTCTTGATGAACACAGAGTTCCATGAGTCTGGCCCTGGGGCAGAGTGCATGGGCATGTCATTTATCAATTATTTATCAATTATTTATCAATTACTGGGAACGGTTGAAGTTCCTCGACTTCTATTCCCTGGGACACAGGCGGGAGAGATACATGATTATGCACTTGAAAAATCCTAGAGGGATTAGTAGCAAATTTGCACACGAAAATCACTCCCTAAGAAAGCAAAAGGCTCGGCAGTAAGTGTCAGGGGCCCAAGAGTGTTCAACTGCCTCCCAGCATACACACGATTTTTATTTTGAATTTACTGAATTAATTTTAAGTACAATTTGCCTAAGAAGTTGTACATTCCTTGGGCCTTCATTTTATTGTGCTGTAAATAGTGAAATTTAGATTAATATCTGTATTTGTATTCGACCAACACCAACAACCTTCACAAAGGTTAAAGTTTGTTATGTAACTAAAACCCCTAATGTTGCAAAACCTTCCTGTATGTAGTTATATGCTACAAGTAGATGTGCTCTGTATAACCAGGTACTTTCTACAAAGTATGTCAATAATATCTTATTTTTTTGTATCGACTGTAAATACATTCTTTATAGAAATAAGATCTACTACTTTGTTTAATGTTCTTGTACAGAGAAGTTGTCAGTGGCCCTTAACAATCCCCAACAAGAAGAGAAACTGGCAAATTTGCACATTTTCTGAAGACAATTTTAAGGAAGGCATTATTTTAATTTAACTCTTTAACTTCGACAATGACTGTTTGAGAGAGACGGAGTTTGGTAAATAGAGCCGAAGATATTATGTTGATAATTTTGAGTTTTATAAGATAATGAAGTAATAGTATTTTAATAATGGAGCTGGAGTACCACGAGGGACAGTTTAGTGACGCTGACGAAGATTCGTAAGTACTAAAGTAGGTCATGTAATTAGCATGCATCTTTAAAAAAGTTACCTTGATACCAGTGAAGAACTCTTTATATAGGGACATGACCAGAAAGGTTGGCTTCTGTCCTTGCTACCTTGGTATCTGAGGTGCATCTTTGTTGGCAGTGAATGTAAACCTTTTAACTCAGTGTCGAGCACCGTAATGATCTTCACCAATGTCTTGGAGGATGACTTGGTTCGTGCTTCAAGGATCTTTCTGTGCTCACTTACCAAGAGTTTAGTTTAATATCTTTATTATGCACCCCATACCCATCCTGTAGACGGTAGTCAAAAGATTACAGATCTACATAATGAGTCCAGGGACTGGGAGAGCCCACTGTCTTCACTGTGGAGCTTCATGCAGTTCTCACTATTGTCCTGTTAGCTGCCTTACTTCTCCATTTACTGTGTATTTTGTCTACAAGGATGTGCCATTCTGTGGTGCCCGGCTAAGTTGGTGTTCTGGGAAATGAACGTCCGGATGCAGAGACAGAGGCTGCCATGGACAGCCCACTCTACAGAAGACTTTTGCCATACAGCGACTTCATGTGCCATATTCACAGATATGTACTTGGGAAGTGGCAGGCCCAGTGGGCCCTGCAGACTGGGAATATGTTATACATGGTATGGCAGGATAAGGGTGTTTGTCCCAACTCCTTAAACAGAAATTGTCTCTGTGAGGAGTTTCTCTGTTGATTGAAGATCAGGCACACACACCTCACCCATAGCCACCTGTGTACAGGTGTTCCACCACCCCTCTTGGATTGCTTGTGATATGCCGCTTAGTCCTTTCCACACTCATCAGGGTTTTAGTATTCCCAGGGTGCCTGTATGGACGTTGGGGAACTTTTAAAAGAGTGTCTGTTTAAACTTAGTATGATTGTATTTATTTTGTCGACTGTTCATTGCTTTTATTGTTTTTTAATTTTATCCATATTTTTATGATGTTATTCCCAGTTTGATTGATTTCTGTTGCATCTTTTAGCAAGGCTTTAAATAATAAGATATTACAGGGACCCCAATGGAAATAAGTCACTGTCTTACTTTATTGGGTTATCCTGCAGTGCTTTATGACCCTAAAGGGGTTTAATGCTTATAATATTAATAATTGGGTTATCCTAGGTAATTTACACATATATTACTATGTATGATATTATAATCACCTAAATTTATATGACTGTGTACCAGTACCTAAATAAACTTATTGTATATTCTTTTTGGCTGTGAGCACTGAGGGATCTATGCAGTCAAGAGTGCTCCTTAACTGTCACAGCTACTACTACTACTACTACTACTACTATTCGAAATCTTTGGTTCCTCAGAAGAAATTTCTTTGATTTTAGTGAGTTTTTTTTTTTAACCATTTGTTCTCTCCTATGACTTGAGTCTCATTGCATCTCATTCCCCAGGTGCTGTATAACCCATACAGGTTTTGTGTTTTCCCCCTAATTATAATAATAAACTTCCTGTGTGATGTCTATGAGTTTAGTACCTCCACCCAAATATAATAATAAAAATAATAATTGCCATTATGTTTCCAGGATCTGTAGAGGTGCTGTGTTGTGTGCTGGGCTGGCATAGTATCTATTTAATATATGTTATTCACATCCTAGGGTAGCTGCACACTACGGCTGTACTCTTCTTAATTTTGTTAAATAAAACATTGATTTGACTATTTCAGTGAGAGTTCACGTCAGCCATGCCGCTCGCTGCCCATGGTAAAAACTGTAGAGGAGAACTGGGATGAGGATGAGGGAGATAACTCTCAACAACAGCAACAAATTAAGAATGCTTCCTCAGAATACGAAGATATATTCGATGACTATGACTATGGAGATTCTGATTATGATGATGATGCATACTGTATTGATGAATATAGCAAAGGTATAGTATTATAATGGAGATTGGAATTACTGTACATGCAGAACCATGAAATTTATACAAAAGTTTAGTTTTAATTTTGTTCCTGTGAATATCGTTCCTTCCAAGTTATCTCTTAATATTTATTTTGATTCAATAATATTTACTAGTACACATTTTTACCTAAATCTTTTATGAAAATATATTTCTCGTCTAATTTGCCATACTCTGTTTCACAAAGTATGTGAGGTTTTATCAGTGGAGTATTACTTTTTTTGCTATTCATTAAGCTTATTCTTTTGTGAATGGTACATGGAAGCTGTCTACTTCTCACAATTTCCAGGTACATAATTAGTTTTAATTTTAGGAAAAAGCTCTTTATAAATTTTTAAATCATTAGTTCAGTACAGTGACATCTTGAATAATAGATGGTTTTACTTAAGTTTTGAAACATTTGTTTATTCATTAGTTCAATACAAATCACAACTAAGGAGAGGAAATTAGAAAAGGTCTCCACTTTTTCACCCTAGCTGTGACTTAATAATGATTCAGGATGGCCCATAACATTGTCATAAGGTTCCTTTCCTAAGTGTGGGTTATTGATGAATTGTTACAGCCATGATACTGTGAATTTTTATTCTTTAGGTTAAAGTTCATATGATAATTTTTAGATACACAAGATTTGTATATGAATCATTTTAAGTTTACTACAAAAGTGAAGTTTACAAATTCCTTATTAAGCTGAAACCTTCCACAGATCTAACAAAGCAGTATCATCAGAATAACCAAATTGGACCCAACCACTCAAGTAATCAGTCGCAAAAGGTCAGTGTACCAAACTAATTACAGGGTTTAAAATTGTTATTCATACATTTTACAGTTCAAAAAGGACAAACAATCATATTCAACTAAGAATATGTTGGTTCTTCCTTACCATGAAAACCAGCCACAGGAGGATGGAAATCTTCAGCTCAAGCTCTTTCACACTTATCCATGCATCATCAGGAGCTATGCAATGTTGCAAGAGCAGCAACAGGTAGATTGAGGGGATGGGGGGGGGTGCCTTGATCTGCTGAAGAGCTCTTCATCTAAGGAACTAGAGATGCAATATGTCTTCTGGAATGGATTAATGTTGCAACTCAAGGGACCACTCTGTATGCGTGTGTATATTTCTTTCTTTCAGCAAACCGGCCGTATCCCACCAAGGCAGGGTGGCCCAAAAAGAAAAACGAAAGTTTCTCTTTTTAAATTTAGTAATTTATACAGGAGAAGGGGTTACTAGCCCCTTGCTCCCGGCATTTTAGTCACCTATTACAACATGCATGGCTTATGGAGGAAAAATTCTGTTCCACTTCCCCATGGAGAGAAGAGGAAATAAGAAAGAACAAGAACTAGAAAGAAAATAGAAGAAAACCCAGAGGGGTGTGTATATATATGCTTGTAAAGAGTTTTTATGAGGATAGTGAGGCTCAGGTTAGGGTGTGTAGAAGAGAGGGAGACTACTTCCCGGTAAAAGTAGGTCTTAGACAGGGATGTGTAATGTCACCATGGTTGTTTAATATACTATTTATAGATGGGGTTGTAAAAGAAGTAAATGCTATGGTGTTCGGGAGAAGGGTGGGATTAAATTATGGGGAATCAAATACAAAATGGGAATTAACACAGTTGCTTTTTGCTGATAATACTGTGCTTATGGGAGATTCTAAAGAAAAATTGCAAAGGTTAGTGGACGAGTTTGGGAGTGTGTAAAGGTAGAAAGTTGAAAGTGAACATAGAAAAGAGTAAGGTGATGAGGGTATCAAATGATTTAGATAAAGAAAAATTGGATATCAAATTGGGGAGGAGGAGTATGGAAGAAGTGAATGTTTTCAGATACTTGGGAGTTGACGTGTCGGCGGATGGATTTATGAAGGATGAGGTTAATCATAGAATTGATGAGGGAAAAAAGGTGAGTGGTGCATTGAGGTATATGTAGAGACAAAAAACGTTATCTATGGAGGCAAAGAAGGGAATGTATGAAAGTATAGTAGTACCAACACTCTTATATGGGTGTGAAGCTTGGGTTGTGAATGCAGTAGCGAGGAGGCAGTTGGAGGCAGTGGAGATGTCCTGTCTAAGGGCAATATGTGGTGTAAATATTATGCAGAAAATTTGGAGTGTGGAAATTAGGAGAAGGTGTGGAGTAATAAAAGTATTAGTCAGAGGGCTGAAAAGGGGTTGTTGAGGTGGTTTGGTCATTTAGAGAGAATGGATCAAAGTAGAATGACATGGAGAGCGTATAAATCTGTAGGGGAAGGAAGGCGGGGTAGGGGTCGTCCTCGAAAAGGTTGGAAGGAAGGGGTAAGGGAGGTTTTTGGGCAAGGGGCTTGGACTTCCAGCAAGCGTGCGTGAGTGTGTTCGATAGGAGTGAATGGAGACGAATGGTATTTGGGACCTGACGATCTGTTGGAGTGTAATCAGGGTAATATATAGTGAAGGGATTCAGGGAAACCGGTTATTTTTATATAGCCGGACTTGAGTCCTGGAAATGGGAAGTACAATGCCTGCACTCTAAAGGAGGGGTTTGGAATATTGGCAGTTTGGAGGGATATGTTGTGCATTTTTATACGTATTTGCTTCTAAACTGTTGTGTTCTGAGCACCTCTTCAAAAACAATGATTATGTGTGAGTGAAGTGAAAGTGTTGAATGATGATGAAAGTATTTTCTTTTTGGGGATTTTCTTTCTTTTTGGGTCACCCTGCCTCGGTGGGAGACAGCCGACTTGTTAAAAAAAAAAAAAAAAAACACACAGTTTACAATTATATTGAAATAAACATTGATATTGAAGGCATTAGAAGTATAATTTACATAGTAGATTTTTGCCCATTATTTTAAAGGTCTCTTATATTGAGGGTTTACAGTAAAATACTATGTGTACAGCCTAATCTGTTTAGAAATTCCATGAAAAACGGCCCCCAAAATATGATACTCCTTGAAAATGCCAAGAGTTCCCAACCTGCCATCAGCTTCAGTAACATTGTTAAAAAGTACCTATTAGATCTTACTTAAAATGTTATATCACTTACAGGCAGGCCCTGCTTATATGGCAGGTTAAGTTTTGGGTTACTGCTTAAAGTGAATCATAGCCTTTTTTCACTTTCAAGTGCATATAAAACCCTGATAACATGTTTGCAGTGTCATATATTAAGTGAGCTAGGCCTAAAATATGCACATGCACTATACATTACTTACCATAAAATATTTTGTCATTAGCTTTTAGTGAGTGGTGAATATATTTATTGTAGTTGGTCTGAATAAATGAAGAATGGATATAATTAAAAACTGCTGCATTAGCGAAGCGCTGTAATGCGAAATGCCATAAAGTGAAGCTCTGTAAAGCAGGGCCTGCCTGTGATTGATTGTAAATACTTAAGTAGACATTATTGGCATCACTATGATTCTATCACTCCATAAAATTTACGTCAGTGATCCGATATAAATTTAATATAAGCTATTTGTAGTTGTCCAGTACGTTATATACGACCTTCTCATCATATTCAACTTAAAATTCTTATCAGCTAGCCAACTCTTGCTACCAATTTTTTGAACCTCGGTTACCTTATGATTAGATTGAATTACTGTACTCACTTTACTTTCACACAATGTCTAAAATTAAATTCTAGTATATAAATTTTAGGGTAGTGTGCCCAAATTTTTTTGCATAACAGTTGCCTTTCTTTTGAATGTGCAAGTACAATTTCATACAGTTATATCATGATTGTATCAAAACTGTTACCAAAAGAACTGTAAACACAACCATTGTAACTTCTGTGTATGTTTGCATGAAACAAAGATTTTCATTATCAAGTATTGCAAAGAGTGGAAGGGAAGTGTTGTTGATGGATAGGTGAGGAGAAGGATGTTGGTGGTTGAGTGAGGGAGCGAGTGTTGGTGTATGGGAATGGTGGTGATGGTGGGTGGTGGTAGGCGGGAGTTGGTAGATGAGGGCAGAAGGTTATCATTTAGTGATTTATATAAATATTCTCTCTAACTTCAAACTTATGAGACTGAGGTTGGTATTGTTTACTTTTCAGATTGAAAAATTTCAACCATCAGAAAAATTATTCAAGAAATATGCAGGAAAGATTTGCCTTGAGAAGTTTGAAGGTCTTACAGGTTTTGGTGGTAATGTGACAAACCGCATGGTAGAGACACAGAGGCGGGCTGATAATGAAAGGTAATATTGACCCATAATTATAAATTAGTCCTCATGAGTATGTGTGCATATTTAAAAAAAATTAATTACACAACCCTTTTATCTATAAGAGATCTTGCTATATCTTGTAATTAAATGCATTCCTACTACTCTTTACTCATTATTGTACTGTTTTGGAATATGATGTTTGAGTGATGGACTGTCCTTGGCCTGGTGCTGAGGTCTAAATGGCAAATGTTAAAACCCTAATTTATCTTGGTTTTTCTTTTTTAGGTCACCCTGTCTTGGTGGGATATGGCCGGTTCATTGAAAACAAAATATATAATAAAGATAATCTTGTGTTTGTAACTTACACAAAAAAAATTAAAAGTTAGATACCACTTAGACAAATAAATTAATGTGTAAAAAAGTTCTGAATATATTAGACTCGGGAAGACCAATTTCAGCAGATAAAGGTCTCTGACTGAGATTGAAATATGCTGATATCTAACCTGTGTTAAATTTTTGACTAAGTGGTTCATCATTTTTCACTGATCATTGTTTATGACACTAAGCCTTATGAACAGTCTTGCCACTGTTGTAAAAACAGTCAAGTGGGTGACCATTAAAGGTGCTTTGAATAATTGAATTATGACTGTGGTGATGATTTGTTCAGGCCATGTACAGTGGATGCCTATTTTCTGTCTATTTCACACTCATTGTTTTTTACTGCCTTTTACCTTATATTTCTAGTTTTTCCATTGTGGTATGTTAAATTTGTTATTTTTTATGGATGGAAGACAACCTAACTTAACTTAGAAATGTGCTACAAACTGTATATGAAGAATCTACTTAAATGCTCAGAAGACAGGTTGATATGCCATATACATTTTCAGACAAAGAGTGCGTGATAAATCAGAGAGGGCAACAGTGGAACAGGTGTTAGATCCAAGAACTCGGATGATTCTTTTCAAATTTCTCAACAAGGGAACCATCACTGAGGTAAGCCAGAAATATTTTTGTAAAGCTTTGTGCCTCAATCTTTCAAGGTAATTATGAAATACAATAACTAATCTCCACAGCATCAAGTGTGACTCATGTTGATAACGTTTATTTTTAATTCTGTGGTCAAATGTTGTGTTTTCAGTACTTTTAACACTTTCCTGCATGGTTAACAAGGGTGTACTTACAGATAAATGGATGCATTTCTACTGGCAAAGAAGCAAATGTTTACCATGCTTTGGGCAGTGATAACCAAGATTATGCTGTCAAAATATACAAGACATCCATCCTCACTTTCAAGGATCGTGATAGATATGTTTCTGGAGATCACAGGTAGATTAGCAATAATTCAGTAAATTTGCTTTCCCTTAGTCTCTTACAGTTTGTATTCTTGAGCCTTATTATTATAATATAATAATGACTCAATTTGTGTAAATGCATTGATGTGTATGGTGAAGGTGAAATGGAAACTTATTAGATGTTTTATACTTGGGCAAAATTGCTGATCTGTTATTTCTATTGTATGAACATAAAGAGTAACAGGGAAATCTTGCAAACTTATACTGTACTTATATTCATTTTACACAGTTGCTGGCACTATTTTGAAAAATGTCAGCTTGGGAGCAGACTTTTATTATAACATTTTTAATTCTTGCAGAGCATTTATGAAATCTGTAAGGAACAAGACATTATCTGAATTAATGTGTTCCTGTTCTTATTTTTTTCACAAAACTGTACTGTGCAGAAACAACATTACTTTAAAATGTCAGAATAGTATATAAGGTCATACTGAATAGCATATAAGGTCATACTGAATAGTATATAAGGTCATACTGAATAGTATATAAGGTCATACTGAATAGTATATAAGGTCATACTGAATATTTTAGTCGTCTTTACATTTCATATGGTAAGTAACACAAAAAATAATTTAATAACTGCTTTTCCATTTAAATATTTTTGTTATTATTTACACTAGAAGTTTCACAATAGAAATTTCCTTTTAGGTTAACTAGACAGTATCATTTGTATCCTAAAAATACATATTATTCAATCTTTAGCCCTTAAACTGTCCAAATGTAAATCTATGTTCACTCTCGTAGCGCTCTGAACGTAGATCTACGTTCGATTTTACCTGCTTTCTCATGTAAAAAAATGTAGATCTATGTTTGGAGCGCTACATGAGCAAATGTAGATCTATGTTTGGACAGTTTAAAGGTTAGTAATACAGTACTTTCTCTCATCAGATTTCGTCATGGGTACGGAAAGCACAACCCTAGAAAAATGGTCCGCACATGGGCAGAGAAAGAGACGAGCAATTTGTTTCGTATGTATAACTGTGGCCTCCCTGTTCCACGTCCTGTGGTTCTGCGCTCCCACGTGCTTGTTATGGAGTTTTTGGGAACAGATTCGATGGCGTCTCCTAGGTTGAAGGTAGATATTTGTGTTACATTGAGCATATGTGGTATTATTGCTTTGTGTGTGTGAATTGTGTTAGTCTTGAGGCTTTTGTATGCCTTTATTTTCAATATTTGTAATGAACAGAAGCTTTCATTTTAAAGTATAGTACCTGTACTATACAGTACATCATTTAGTTTGATGTCCCATGACAAAAAAGAAAACTTAACACATTTATATTGGGCCTACTGTTGTAGCATTGTAGGCTCAAAGTACAGTATGGTAGAGATAAAATATTGGAAATTGGTGTTCAAAGGAGTATAGTGGAGTACTATACTATATTATGACTGAAGTTTGGGATATTGGCAGTTTGGAGGGATATGTTGTGTATCTTTATACGTATATGCTTCTAAACTGTTGTGTTATGAGCACCTCTGCAAAAACAGTGATTATGTGTGAGTGAGGTGAAAATGTTGAATGATGATGAAAGTATTTTCTTTTTGAGGATTTTCTTTCTTTTTGGGGTCACCCTGCCTCAGTGGGAGACGGCCGACTTGTTTAAAAAAAAAAAAAAATTGAAAAACTATTCATATTGGCATCTAGCAATGCTTATTTAGGGGATTGCTATTTCTGAGTATTGTTTTTAATAATATAAATCCTGTACATTTTCTAATAAATATTAAAACCAATATTTATCGCTTTAAATTTATCATGTAAACTTTATATTTATGTGTTTTGTGTTTTATGTTGCATAGGATGCTGAGATTTCCGAATCTAAGGCTCGAGAATTGTATTATGACCTGGTGATTCAAATGTGGATCATGTACCGTGAATGTCGTCTGGTTCATGCTGATCTTAGTGAATTCAATCTCCTGTAAGTTTCTAACTAATCGTTTAATGTAAGAATTTTACTATGTATTGTTTTTGTTTGTCATTATTTGACCTTGGCTGTGCTTTCATATTTTATATATATTTGTTGCCTCTTTGGCCATCTCCTGCCAATGCAGGGTGGCCCTAAAAAGAAAATATATTCACCATCATTCACTCAGTTGCTGGTTTTCCAGAAGTGTGCTGACATTACAATTCAGATTATCCTCTAACTATAACATGTCTATCCCTTCTTCAGAGTGCAGACACTGCCTTTCCCACATCTAGGACTCATTTAAATCTTTTGATATGTCATTATTGTTCATTGTAAACTGCATGCCTGTATGGCTGCTAAACAGTCAGATGTTGAGTACAATGGAACCTTGGGTTTCATATGCCCTAGTTTGCATGTAAAACTATAGTTATTCTTTTGAAATGTACTTTTTGTTCATATTTTTGGGTGTCTGGAACAGAGTAATTGAGTTTACATTATTTCTTACGGGAAATATTAACAAACAATACATTTTATAGAGAATAACTGCAGTTTTCCTAGGTAGTAGGTTGGTAGACAGCAACCGCCCAGGGAGGTACTACCGTCCTGCCAAGTGAGTGTAAAACGGAAGCTTGTAATTGTTTTACACGATGGTAGGATTGCTGGTGTCTTTTTTTTCTGTCTCATACACATGCAAGATTTCAGGTACATCTTGCTACTTCTACTTACACTTAGGTCACACTACACATGTATGTACAAGCATATATATACATACCCCTTTGGGTTTTCTTCTATTTTCTTTCTAGTTCTTGTTCTTGTCTATTTCCTCTTATCTCCATGGGGAAGTGGAACAGAATTCTTCCTCCGTAAGCAATGCGTGTTGTAAGAGACAACTAAAATGCCGGGAGCAAGGGGCTAGTAACCCCTTCTCCTGTATATATTACTAAATTTAAAAGGCAAAACTTTTGTTTTTCCTTTTGGGCCACCCCGCCTCGGTAGTATACGGCTGGTGCGTTGAAAGAATGAAAGAAAACTACAGTTTTACATACAAACTAGGACATATGAAAACCGAGGTTCCACTGTATTAGGCATTAAGGTTACACACATTTTCTGTGATGGTGACTTTTGTCCAGTCAGTGAATTGCTTTTTTATTTTAATAGATTAAATTTAAGAATTTGTTGCTGTCTTCTTTCTTTCAACACACCAGCCGTATCCCACCGAGGCGGGGTGGCCCAAAAGGAAAAACGAAAGTTTCTCCTTTTACATTTAGTAATATATACAGGAGAAGAGGTTACTAGCCCCTTGCTCCCGGCATTTTAGTCGCCTCTTACAACACGCATGGCTTACGGAGGAAGAATTCTGTTCCACTTCCCCATGGAGATAAGAGGAAATAAACAAGAATAAGAACTAGAAAGAAAATAGAAGAAAACCCAGAGGGGTGTGTATATATGTGCTTGTACATGTATGTGTAGTGGGACCTAAGTGTAAGTAGAAGTAGCAAGACGTACCTGAAAACTTGCATGTTCATGAGACAGAAAAAAGGACACCAGCAATCCTACCATCATGTAAAACAATTACAGGCTTTCGTTTTACACTCACTTGGCAGGACGGTAGTACCTCCCTGGGCGGTTGCTGTCTACCAACCTACTACCTAGGAATTTGTTGCTGTATATTCATATATTCTTCTTACATATGGATTTAGTTAAAACATAGAAGTTTGTTTTATTTGGGGATGAACTATTGGGTATTATATGTTATCATAGTAATGTAGGGCCTCATTTATCCAGCAAGTTAGGTTCCAGGCCACCTCCTTAAAGGGGAAATTGCCTTAGTGGAATGCCATTATTTTCTACCTATAAATGCCAGACAACAACTTTACACTAACTTAAATTAGTAAGAGAACTAGGCATTAAAAAACACAATAAAAAGTAAAATACACACACAGTACACCCATTACTTACCTTAAAATATTTGTAGTCTTAATGTTGGGTGAGAGGCGAGTTGTATTTATTTGCAGGAAGTCAGGTGTGGGAAGTATGGTAGCCAGCCAGGGCAGTCCACCTCACCCCACCTGACACAACCCCACCCACACATAATGTAAACAAACAGATGCATCTGCTTTTGGTTGATACACATTCATTCCCATGTCTGTGAATCTTATACCATAATACAAACACTTGACATTGCATACAAGTTGTCTCCACATTGATACAGTAGAATAAATAAAGAGGAACACACCCATTCTCATGAAACACTATTTTTAGAAGAAATGACGCTCTGAGTGAAGGCATACGAAAGTAAAATTTTCTAGTTACCCCCAGTAATATTACAGTGTACACATTTTCTCGGGTGTTGGACTAGAGAAAACATTATTCTTGCCGTCCCTCCTAAAAGTCACCCCCAGTAATAATACAGTGGAACCTCAAAAATCGAACTGCTCCCAACACGACCAATTATGTAAGTGTATTTTTGTAAGTGCTTTTATAAGTGTATTTTTGAGGGTCTGAAATGGACTAATCTAGTTTACATTATTCCTGATGGGAATAAATTCATTTGGTAAAGGCATTCGAACAGCCTTCTGGACCGAAGAAAGTTCAGTATTTGAGGTTCCACTGTATAGTGTACACATTTTCTCTGATGTTGGACTAGAGAAAATGTTATTCTTGCCATCCCTCCTGCAAGTCACCTGGCTATCACATCTCATATCTGTTAATTTATTCTACTGTGTGGTTTATTTATCTTGTTTATATGTTATGTAGCATGTTTATTAAAAAATATCATAAATGGATTAATGGAAGGGGGGTTTTGTGGGCGAGGGGCTTGGACTTCCAGCAGGCATGCATGAGCGTGTTCGATAGGAGTGAATGGAGATGAATGGTATTTGGGACCTGACGATCTGTTGGAGTGTGAGCAGGGTAATATTTAGTGAAGGGATTCAGGGAAACCGGGTATTTTTGTATAGCCGGACTTGAGCCTTGGAAATGGGAAGTACAATGCCTGCACTCTAAAGGAGGGGTTCGGGATATTAGGAGTTTGGAGGGATATGTTGTGTATCTTTATATGTACGTATATGCTTCTGAACTGTTGCGTTCTGAGCACCTCTGCAAAAACAGTGATTATGAGTGAGTGAGGTGAAAGTGTTGAATAATGATGAAAGTATTTTCTTTTTTGGGATTTTCTTTCTTTTTGGGTCACCCAATTGCAACACTATCATCTTCATTTTCACTGTCTGTTCCTATTGTACAGTCATGGGATGTACTCCGAGATGTACTCCTTCCCCTTGGAATAGCATATGGCACATTACCAGAGCACATATATCATCGTATATACTGACGTTTCACTGGAGAATATTCCACTTCACTATCACTACTGGAACTGTTTTCAAGAGCTTGTAGTTCATATTCACTATCACTATCATCACCAATGCTCACATCTGAGTCTGGGATTTGGGAAAATAGGAGTTTCCTCTTCGATTCTGGTACAACTGAACGTGAACAAGACGGCCCAGCAGCAGAGGTGGAAGGCTGAGGGTCGTTTGGGTTTTCCTCACTATTACCGGTATTATGGTCATTAGTTTCAGTCACAACCTCACCAAAACCTTGAAACTCATCTTCACTGGCACTTCCATCTGTATTAGAACTGTCACTGGGGAACAAAAGTGTCTCAATTCGCCGAGGAGTGAGGAGCTTCTTACTGCGAGGCATGGTGAGCAAGGTCTACTAAAATGGCGTTCCCACAATGCGCCACTGGGTCCCAGATTTTTTTCTACCACGCATACCTGACCACACATACCCATTCTCTCACATCTAGGCCTACCAGCCTTTTCCCGCGAGATTTGAAGGCACTAGAATTTATGCGTACTAGTACGTCAAAAACCTTGGCACATAAGACATACTAGTACCTCGGAAACCCTGAAAGGGTTAATGTGCCCAAGAGATTATTATTATTAATGTGGCATCAAGAGTAGAGAGACTCTTAGTGATATTAATGTGTACCTGCACACCACACAGTGTACCTGTACCTAAATATACATTTAGGTACAGGTACACATAAGTATATAGATATCAGAGTACAGTGGTACCTTGGGATACAAACAGCTGAAAACTCGAACAATTATGTAAGTGCTTATGTAAATGTATTTTTGGGGGTCTGAAACGGATTAATCTAATTTACATTTTTTCTTATGGGAACAAATTCGTTCAGTATCGGCACTCGAACAGCCTTCTTGAACAAATTAAGTTCATATCCCAAGGTACCGCTGTATGTATAAAATCTAAGGGGAATGTGTGGTGTAAATATTATGCAGAGAATTCGGAGTGTGGAAATTAGGAGAAGTTGTGGAGTTAATAAAAGTACAGTGGACCCCCGCATAACGATCACCTCCCAATGCGACCAGTTATGTAAGTGTATTTATGTTAGTGCGTTTGTACGTGTATGTTTGGGGGTCTGAAATGGACTAATCTACTTCACAATATTCCTTATGGGAACAAATTCGGTCAGTACTGGCACCTGAACATACTTCTGGAATGAAAAAATATCGTTAACCGGGGATCCACTGTATTAGTCAGAGGGCTGAAGAAGAGTTGTTGAGGTGGTTTGGTCATTTAGAGAAAATGGATCAAAGTAGAATGACATGGAGAGCGTATAAATCTGTAGGGAAAGGAAGGCGGGGTAGGGGGTCGTCCTCGAAAAGGTTGGAGGGAGGGGGTAAAGGTTGTTTTGTGGGCAAAGGGCTTGGACTTACAGCTTGCATGCGTGAGCGTGTTAGATAGGAGTGAATGGAGACAAATGGTTTTTGGGACCTGACAAGCTGTTGGAGTATGAGCAGGGTAATATTCAGTGAAGGGAATCAAGGAAATTGGTTATTTTTATATAGCCAGATTTGAAAATGAGAAATACAATGCCTGCACTTTAAAGGAGGGATTTGGGATATTGGCAGTTTGGAGGGATATGTTATATGTCTTTATATATGCTTCTAAGTTATTGTATCTGGGCACCTCTGCAAAAACTGTTTATGTATGAGTGAGGTGAAAGTGTTGAATGATGATGAAAGTATTTTCTTTTTGGGGATTTTCTTTCTTTTTGGGTCACCCTGCCTCGGTGGGAGACGGCTTACTTGTTAAAAAAAAGAAAAAAAAAACATAAAATATGCAATAAGTTTAAAACGCTTAAAATTTTGGAAAGTTTCCAGACATAATAGAGAGATGTGCTCATGTGGTGCGCCGTATAAGAAAGACGGGTTGCTGTATAGCGAGTTTTGGTCATAATTTCAAATTGCCATAGTAGCGGAACGCTGTAAGGCGGGGCCCTACTGTACTGTACTGTACTTCTATCATCCCCTTTCATGTCTGGAGCTTATGCTTGCATTTTTTCAGTTTTCTTTTTTTTTAATTTTGTACTGTTGAAGGATCCCAAGAGACAGAGTGTAGTAAAAAAATTTCTTGGGTCATCATTATTTAGTATTTTGCTTTTGAATATGAAATTTAAGTGAATAGGCACTTTGTTTCTTCCTGATTTCTTTTGTGCGTTAATGCATTTTACTCCCTAGTTATCACCAGGGTCGGCCATTTATTATTGATGTATCCCAGTCTGTGACCCCAGATCATCCCCATTCATTGGATTTCTTACGAAAGGATTGCACGAACGTTACAGGTTTGTTTGTTTTTGTCCAAATTTTTAAAAAGTATGAATTTTTGAAAGACTGATGAACTAATCTTGAGATATTTAAGACTGTAATGCATACTGTATACAGTTTTTTGGTACATACTTTAAAAATTTGCAATACCAGTAATAAAAAGATCTTTGCCTCACATTTTGGAAACCATACATTTTAGAGGAAACTGGACCACTGCTTGCTCAGAATTCCTAATCAGCCAGGTTGTGGTGTTTGTGTTGGCCTATGGGCCACTAACAATGGCTAGACATTCAACAAAGAGTGAAAACACAAAGGGTTAAGGAATTATGTAATGAGGATACATAATCATTATTATGTAGATAGAGGAGACAAAATTAGGACATTAGGAATACAGCACTATATGAATAATTTAAAGTGTAATTAGCACTTGTCAGTGCTCAGTAATAACCCACATAGAGACAAATTCAGATCATTATTTAGTTGTGACTGCAGCTCAAGTAAGAGGTAGATGGGGCAAAAGGAAAATGTCAGCAGCAAGTAAGAGAGGTGAAAGTTTAACAACTAAGGGAGGAGGAAGTTAGGGTGAGATGTAAGCAACTATTGGGAAAAAGGTGGGCTAGTAAGAGTATAGGTAGTGTGGGGGTTGAAGAGAGGGTGGGATAGTTTTAAAAATGCAGCGATAGAAAGTGGGGCAAAAATTTGTGGATATAGGAGGGTGGGTGCAGGAGCGAAGAGGAGTGATTGGTGGAATGATGAGGTAAAGGGTGTGATAAGGGAGAAAACATTTGCTTATGAGAGGATTTTACAAAGCAGAAGTGATATAAGAAGGGTGGAGTATATGGAGAGCAAAAGAGAGGTGAAGAGAGTGGTAATGGAGTGCAAAAGGAGAGCAAATGATAGAGTAGATGAGGTGCTCTCAGCAAATCTTGCAGAGAATAAGAAAAAGTGAGATAAATAGGTTAAGAAGACCTAGGGAACAAATGGACTTGACAGTTAAAAACAGAATAGGGAAATTAGTAGATGGGGAGTTGGAGGTATTGGGAAGATGGCAGGAATATTTTGAGAGACTGTTAAATGTTGATGAAGAGAGGAAGGGAATGATTTCATCCATTGGGCAGGGAGGTATAACATCTTTTAGGAGTGAAGAAGAGCCGGATGTGAGTGTGGGGAAGGTGCATGAGTCATTGGGTAGAATGGAAGGGGGTAAAGCAGCTGGAACTGATGGGATCATCACAGAAATGTAAAAAGCAGGTGAAGATATAGTTTTGGAGTTATTGGTACTTTTGTTCAATAAATGTATGAAAACAAAGAAGGTACCCAGGGACTGGCAGAGACATTGCATAGTACTTTTATATAAAGGGAAGAGGGACAAAAGAGATTGTAAAAATTATAGGGGAATAAGCCTATTGAGTATACCAGGTACAGTGTATGGTGGGTTATTACTGAAAGAATTAAAGGTAAGACGGAGAGTAGGACGGCAGATGAACAAGAAGGCTTTAGAATGGGTAGGGGATGTGTATACCAAGTGTTTACATTAAAGCATATAAGTGAACAATATTTAGATAAAGGTAGGGAAGTTTTTGTTGCTTTTATGGAATTAGAAAAGGCATGATAGGGTGGACAGAGGAGTAGTGTGGCAGAGGTTGCAAGTGTATGGAATAGGTAGTGAGTTACTAAATGCTGTAAAGAGTTTTTATGAGGATAGTGAGGCTCAGGTTAGGGTGTGTAGGAGAGAGGGAGATTATTTTCCAGTAAAAGTACATCATGGAGAGGGATGCGTAATGTCACTGTGGTTGTTTGACAGATTTCTAGGTGAGGTTGTAAAAGAAGTAAATGCTAGGTTGTTGAAGAGAGGGGCAGGATTAAATTATGCAGATTCAAATACAAAATGGGAGTTAACACAGTTACTTTTTTTGCTGATTATTCTGTGCTTTTGGGAGATTCTGAAGAGAAGTTGCAAAGGTTAATGGATGAATTTGGGAGGGTGTGTAAAGGAAGAAAGTTGAAAGTGAACATAGATAAATGTGAGGTGATGAGGGTATCAAACAGTTTAGATAAAGAAAAACTGGATATCAGAAGTGAACAAGTACAGATATTTGGGAGTAGACTTGTTGTTGGGTGGGTTTACAAAGGACGGGGTAAACCATAGAATTGATGAAGGAAAAAAGGTGGGTGGTGTATTGAGGTATCTCTGGAGACAAAGAACATTATCCATGGAGGCAAAGAAGGGCGTGTATGAGAGTATAGTGGTACCAACACTTTTATATGGATGTGAAGCATGGGTTGAAAATGTTGCAGCAAGGAGGAGACTGATAGGAGTGAAGATGTCAGGCTAAGGGCAATGTGTGGTGTAAATATTATGCAGAAAATTCGTAGTGTGGAAATTAGGAGGTGTGGAGTTACTAAAAATATTATTTTGAGGGCTGAGGAGGGTTTTTTTAGGTGGTTTAGTCATTTAGAGAGGATGGAGCAAAATAGGATGACTTGGAGGGTATATAAATCTGTAGTGGAAGGAAGGAGGGGTAGGGGTCATCCTTGAAAAGGATGGAGGGAAGTGGTAAAAGAACTTTTGTGTGCAAGGGGCTTGGACAGACAGCAGGCATGTGTGAGCATGCTAGATAGGAGTGAGATGAGACAAATGGTTTTTGGGACTTGACGAGCTGTTTGAGTGTGAGCAGGCTAATATTTCATAAAGGAAACCAGTTAGCTGGACTTGAGTCCTGGAGGTGGGGAGTACAGAGTCTACACTTTAAAGGAGGGGTTTGGGATATTTGCTGTTTGGACGGACATCTGAACTGTCATATCTGCATGCCTTTCCAAAGACAGTGATTAGGTGTGAATGATGGTGAAAGTTTTTTTTTTTTTTTTTTTTTTTTTTGGTCACCCTGCCTCATTGGGAGATGGCCAGCAAGTTGAAAAGAAAAGTAAAGATTTTGACCCCCCCTTTCTGGGATCCTTTTCTGTTGAAGAGGATCTCAGAAGGGGGTCAAAATATCCAGATCAATTAATATCCTGAGTTTGTCTCCATGTGGGTTATTATTGAGCAAAATACTGTTATGTTTATTTAAGCCCTGTATAATGATTCATCTTTAAGTAATTCATTCATTAAAGATATTTTCTCCCACAGTATTTTTTGGAGATGTAATACATATGCAGCAACTATTCCATTTATAGAATACAAATATCATAAAATGTAGAGATAAATAGTGGTATATTATTAAAAAGTGTTCTTTGTAAATTCATACATTACCATATTTATTCCCTTAGAATATTTCCGCAAAAAAGGAGTCCCAACCATGACGGTTCAAGAATTATTCACCTTTATTGTGGATCAGACAGTTACCTTCCAAAACCGTGATGAATACCTAGAAAAAATGAAGAGCCTGGCTTCTTCTCGACCAGTTGGACAAATGACTGATCAGGAAAAAGTTGACGAGGAGGTGTTTAAGAATGTTTTCATTCCCAAAACTCTAGACCAGGTCAGTGAGAGACTTTTATCTTTCATTTGGATAAAAACAGTTTGGAGAGTGTTTATTAAGCTTCAGTAAGAAATCTTACATAAATTGGAAGTTAGATTATGGTGGGAATCGGCCAGTGTGATAATAAAAAATAAAAAAGATCAAATACAGATATGGAATAATAGAACTGAAATATCAGAATGCAATTCCACACTATAGTGAATGTAACAGTATGAAGAGGGTCTAATTTGATCTAAATTATATCTAAGCTGATGAATATGAGAACCAATTTGGTGGTCAGGTTGTGTCAGTGAGAGAACCTTGCAGTGTTAGCAGCAGGTTGCAAGGGTGTCACCTCAGGAATAGTACTGTATTTGAAAGGGAATAAGAGTACAAGTTATGTGGTGTACTTTAGCTTGCACAAATAACACATGTATTATTTATTTTATTTTTTAATGGCTGTATCCCACCGAGACAGGGATACAGGAGATGGGGTTACTAGCCCCTTGCTCCTTGCATGTTAGTCGCCTCTTATGACACATGTGGCTTATGGAGGAAGAATTCTTTTCCACTTCCCATGGAATATTATTATTATTAAGTATCATACAATGTCTGAAAAATGGGAGGTAAGCAAATTCAATCTGAGGAAAGGGAGGATAGCTGTAGTTCCTCAGATCAGGATCCCTTCCCCAGCATCAAGGCACTCCATAATCCCCCCCTTCCTTACTTGGAGGGCTTGAATTATATTTAAATTAGGATTGTTACATGCAGAGGGATATGAGAGATTAGCAGAATAGGTTACATTCCAGTGTTTTATTGTAGTATGTATGGTTATCAATGCATTACAGTTTAAACTATGAACTTACAGGTCATTGACTTTGAGCGTGATTTTGAGCAGCTAAAATTAGGCGAAAAAACAGTTAAGGACATTCCCTATCGTAATGTCTTAGGGTTCAATAAGGATCTTACAGGAGTAGAAGTACTATCTGATCTACTGCCAAAAGAAGCATCAGATTCTGAGGGAGAAGAAATTGAAGGTAAGTGTTCTATTTTGTTTCATTGGGTACTTAAGTATTGTCTGTTATAAGGTGAGTCTTGTTTTTTTATTATAGTCTTAGGTATAGGTTGTTACTCGATCTGCCTTTATTCTCTGACTTGTTTAAAACTAACCCAGAATTCAGAGAAGAAAGTTTTGACAGTGTCATGGTCAGTCTTAGATGGTCATCAGATTCACTTGCTTCTTCATTATTGTCCAGGATGGACTAAAATGTTTTGAAAGTTTTTCCCTGAATTGTGGGTTAGTTGTGAATTGTTCAAACTACAGTATCCATCCTTGTGCCTTGTTCCTCTGAGAACTATCCTCTAAAGGTGGCCAGAGCAGAAGTCTCTAGGTAGGCTTACCTCGGTACAGCATGATCTGTCTGTTTGGAACCTTTTGCCATTATGAAGCCTATTTAGGTACAGGTATACATAAGTATAATTATTAGAGTATATATAAAATAGCAAGGGGCTAGTAACCCCTTCTCCCGTATAAATTACTAAATTTGAAAAGAGAAACTTTCATTTTTCTTTTTGGGCCACCCTGCCTTGGTGGGATAAAGCCGGTGTGTTGAAAGAAAGATATATAAAATATGAAATAACTTTTAAAAACACTTGATATTTTGGAGTTTCCAGACATAATGAAGAGATGTAGTGCTTACGGAGCTCACGGAGAATATAAACAAACCGGGTGAGGTGCGGTGACCATATTATAATGAAAGTCAGGTGAAGGGAGCCATATAGAGAGTTTTGGTCATAATTTTAAATGACCGTATTAGTGGAACACTGTAAAGCAAAATGCTGTAAAGCGGGGCCTTACTGTACTATGACATTTAAAGCGCAATAGAGCGATAAAATGCATATACAGTACACTCATTACTTACCTTAAAATATTTGTAGTCTTAATGTAGGGTGAAAGGTGAGTAAATGAGATAAAATGAATGAACAAGATAGAATGAGTAAATGAGAGAGGAAAGAGACACAGAGAATGTAAACGAGCAGACAAACACGTCTGGTTTTGGTTCATACACGTAACATCTCGTATTTGTTAATTTATTCTACTGTGAGGTGTATTTATCATGTTTATATGTTACATAGCATGTTTGTTACATAATTTTGAAAAAAATATCATAGACGGGTTAATGAAAATGTTTATATTAACATAATATACGACATTTGATGTGCCTCAGAGTGATTTATTATTGGGTATTATCATCATCATCATTAATATGGCATCCTCAGGACTAATAAGACACTCTTAGTGATTTTAATGTGTACCTGCATGCCAGCACAGTGTGTAAGTTTATTTAGGTACAGGTACACATAAGTATATGTATTTATCAGAGTACAGTGGACCCTCGAGTTTCGACGGCATCGACTTTCGTGAAATCTGGCTTTCGGCAAGTTTTTTCGGCAAAATTTGGCCTCGTGGTTTGCGATTAGACTCGTAATTCGGTGACCGTCCAGTACCCATCTGCCCGTCAGCACGCACACAAAGCCAGTCTCCCATGCCATTCACGCTCAGTGTGCCATTGTTTACCAACACGTGACCATCACCCCGCGGGTTCATACGTAATAATCCATTGTTTTTTTGTGATTGCAACTGCTAAATAAGTCACCATGGGCCCAAGGAAAGCTAGTGCAAGCCCTTTGGTAAAGAAAGTGAGGAACACAATCGAATTCAAGAAGGAAATCATTGAAAAATATGAGAGTGGAGTGCGTGTTACAGAGCTTGCCAGGATGTATGGCAAGCCCCATTCAACCATCACTTTGATCGTGGTGAAAGGAAAGGAAATAAAGTGTGCTGTTGTTGCAAAAGGGGTAGATATGCTGACAAAAAGGAGATCACAAATCCTCAAAGAAGTGGAGAAGTTATTGTTGGTGTGGATTACCAAAAAACAGATTAAGGACATTTGTGCAAAGTGGACTGAAGTGCAAACATTTATGGATGAACTTCACCCTAACAAAGCTGTTGCAGGCCATATTGGCAACATGTATAATGACAGTGTTGTGTCCCACTTCAGACAAATCTTAAAGAAACGCCAGAACCAGAGCTCTCTGGACAGGTACATATTTTGTGCGACAAGGTTCCAGTGACTCTCAAGTTGTTCCCAGTGCCAGTGTCTTTAAAAAACAAAGAAGGGAAGTAACCCCAGTTAAGGACTTCATACCTGAAGTCCTAATGGAAGGAGATTCTCCTTCCAAACAATAGTGTACACCTTCCTCCTATCCCCTCCTCCCATCTTCCATCCACCCAGAAGTCTTCAGTAAAGTTAAGTGTAATGTTATTATTATTTTTTATATGCATGTACTTGATTTCTCATTGTTTTCAGTATGTAAATCTTTATTTAATTTGAAAAAAAATATTTTATTTTAATATTTGTGGGTGTCTGGAACGGATTAATTTTATTTCCATTATTTCTTATGGGGAAAATGGTTTCGCCATTCAGCGATTTTGACTTTCGGCAGGCTCTCTGGAATGGATTAATCACAAAACTCGGGGGTCCACTGTATATATAAAACATGAAATAACTAAAACACTTGAAATTTTGGAAAGTTTCCAGACATAATGGAGAAACGCATTGCTCATGGAGCTCACGGAAAATGTAAACAAACCGGGTGGGCCACGGTGACTGTATTAGAAAGTCAGGTGGGGGAGTCAAATAGAGAGTTTTGGTCATAATTTAAAATGTCCGTATTAGCAGAACGCCAGAAGGCGAAATGCCGTAAAGTAGGACTCTACTATACAGTGGACCCCCGGTTCGCGATGCTATCGGTATCTGATAAATCCGGTAACCGATGCATTTTATCGCCAAAAATTTGCCTCGGTTCCCATTACAAAACCCAGTATGCGATACAATTCGTACGAGACATGTCCAGTGTTTACAAGCCAGCCAGTGTGTGCGCATCTAAGGATACATTCGGTACATTCCATATTATCCATATTATCACTGTTTTGGTGCTTGTTTCTGCAAAATAAGTCACCATGGGCCCCAAGAAAGCTTCTAGTGCCAACCCTTCGAGACCAAGGGTGCTAATGACTATTGAAATGAAGAAAGAGATAATTGCAAAGTATGAAAGTGGATTGCGTGTATCGGAGCTGGTCAGGTTGTATAGTAAACCCCAATCAACCATCTCTACTATAGTGAGCAGGAAAACGGCATTCAAGGAAGCTGTTCTTGCAAAAGGTGCAACTGTGATTAGGAAACAGCGACCTCAAGTGTTAGAAAATGTTGAGAGACTGTTATTGGTGTGGATAAATGAAAAACAGATAGCAGGAGATAGCATCTCTCAAGTGATCATTTGTGAAAAGGCTAGGAAGTTGCATGACAATTTGGTAAAGAAATTGCCTGCAACTAGTGGTGATGTGAGTGAATTTAAGGCCAGCAAAGGTTGGTTTGAAAGATTTAAGAATCTTAGTGGCATACATAGTGTGATTAGGCATGGTGAGGCTGCCAGTTCAGACCACAAAGTGGCTGAAAAATATGTGCATGAATTCAAGGGGTACATAGAGGCTGAAGGATTGAAACCTGAGCAAGTGTTTAATTGTGACAAAACAGTCCTGTTTTGGAAGAAATTGCCAAGCAGGACCTACATTACTCAGGAGGAAAAGCTACCTCAAGTCCTAATGGAGGGGGATTCCCCTTCTAAACAATAGGTTTAACACACCCCTCCTCCCATCCCATCAATCATCACCAGATCTTCATTAAAGGTAAGTGTCAATTATTCTATTGTTATTATTCTATTGTTATTGTTGTTATTGTAATTATTCTATTGCATTAAACTTAATATTTCTTGTGGTAAAAGTTTTTTTTTTCATACTTTTGGATGTCTTGCACGGATTAATTTGATTTCCATTATTTCTTATGGGGAAAATTGATTTGCTTTCCGATAATTTTGGTTTACGATAAGCTCTCAGGAACGGATTAATATCGTGAACCGGGGGTCCACTGTACTTATTTGTTCTCTTTTTCTGAAAAGAATTTTGTATAATTTCTAGTTTTGTTTGTAGTGTAAATATCATTTTAAGTTTCATCATATGATTATCTTTTAGTCTATAGAAGTACTTGCAGGATACTTAGGGATTGCCACAGTGCAAGAAATGCATTGTAGAATGGCAGTGTGTAAAGTAAAACAAATGGATGGACAAGGGTGTGATTTACTGATATCATCATGAAAGTTTTTTTTTTTTTTTTTTAGCATGCTGGAGTGTGTTTGCACCTGTGATGACTATAATACTCAGATTTTCAAAGTGCACCTTTTTTTTTTTTTTACAAGAGCTCATGATTATGCCTGGTTAATACCTAACTCAACCTCATTGTATAAAACAAACCACAACTCCTGTTGTCTGAATTTTATGTATTAAAAAAATCTGAACTGTACTGGAGTGAATTTATTTTATAAAATTCCATGTTAAATAAGTAAAATGTGTACAGTAAATATAAATTTTGTGTACTTATTGAAATTAATATGCTGTACAAAAATAACACGCACATAGAAGAGAGGAGCTGACGACGACGTTACCAGTCACTGTATTGTGCCTTTTTTGTTAATATGCTGTATTGTATTTTGTGCATGTTATTGCGATACAGGTAGGCCCTGCTTTACGGTGATTAGTTAATATAGACATTTCAAATTACGACCAAAAATTTGTTTATATGGCTCCCTGATTTGCTATTACAGTGTCTGTGCACCATTCTGTTTACATCCTCCATGAGCTCTGTCTCTCTCAGTTATGTCTGGAAACTTTCAAAAATTTTAAGTGCTTTAAAGTTATTGCGTATTTTATATATACAGTGGACCCCCGGTTAACGATATTTTTTCACTCCAGAAGTATGTTCAGGTGCCAGTACTGACCGAATTTGTTCCCATAAGAAATATTGTGAAGTAGATTAGTCCATTTCAGACCCCCAAACATACACGTACAAACGCACTTACATAAATACACTTACATAATTGGTCACATTCGGAGGTAATCGTTATGCGGGGGTCCACTGT